AACTGAATTTCCTTCAGATCTCAGACGGGTCTCTGAGGCAAAGTGGCAACATTAGATAATAATCCCATTCCTGGCACCGACTTGCTGTGTGTGTCTTGTATATGTGCTGGATGTTCTGGAAGAAATTAGGAAACTCTTCTGCCTCAGTATGTTCAACATGAATGAAGCGACCTGAGTAAAAAGCCAGGTTTTAATCAGTGAGGTGGGCATTAAGTTTCACATACTTTTAATTAATTGCAATCTGGATGGTTTTCAGGGATTTGCTTGAAGAGATTGAAACGTTCCATTAGTCCTTAAGGGCTTAAAAAGTCTTCGTATGATCATTAACTGCTGATCACTAGAATAACAACATGTATAAATGTTATGGTAATAGATACTGTTATCTTGAATTGTAAAACTCTGCAACTTTATGTGAGATCAATAAGTTAACAAACAGCATATCCACTTTGTACCAGAGCTTTTGGAGTAGACTGACTGGAGCTTGTGTTCCCATTCCAGGCGCACAGAGAACTCAGATTAATTACACAAACAGCTAATAGAGCCAAACCCAAAGCAATATCCACTGGCGTCCAAGTAATGTCACAATGTTAAGTCTGTTGTCAATGTGGGTGTTTACAACCACAAGAGCTCAAAAGTATCATAGAGCTATGAGCTGAAAGCTTTTGGACCAGTAAAGTGCTTTGGGAAAATTCTTATAAACGTACAAAAAAAAGAAACCGTAACAGTTAAGGTTTAATAAGGTGGTAAAAAGGTCTGGGATAGAACTCGTGGAATGCGTTGATAAGTTCACTGTGTGTTGTGGTTACCTGATTAATTGCAAATTTGTTTGGGAATGTGCATCACTATGGCACAATACCTCATAAATAGGCCCTTTTAACCCTTTAATGGTCTCGTTCAGTAAAAAACAATGGAAACAATATTGTTGTAGTTAATTTTGATGATAATGTTTTTATTTTTTGTTTGCATTTCCCATTTTGTCTGGGTTCTAACAATAAAAACAAACAAAGAAGGAAAAGAACAAAGATTCAGCTAACATGCTTTAATTTATGAGTCTCTAGCAAATGGTTGAGATATCCGTCTTCGGCAAGGTGACAGAATACATCCACAAATGGACAGAGAGTGGGAGGAAGAGAGGCTCAGTAACGGCACAAAGCTTATTAATACCTTGGGGCCCCTTCACATGTTGATCCAGTCAGTGGTCGGTTGCATGTGGAAAGATTAACTGACGATCAAATAAGGTTCAGCATTACAAAAAGAAGAAAAGGATGAAAATAAATCTAATCTAACCCTGCTTTTTATGTAATAAACTCAACAAACTTCCTATTCAATAAGTAATACAACCTTAAGGCCATGAATACAGATATAAATTACCTACACTCACTGGCCACTTTATTAGGTACACCTTGCTAGCACCTGGTTGGACCCCTTATGCCTTCAGAACTGCCTAAATTCATGGTCACATAGATTCAACAAGGGATTTTGGTCCATATTGACATGATGACATCACACAGTTGATCCATGATGAGAATCTCCCGTTCCAGCACATCCCAAAGGTGCTCTATTGGACTGAGATCTGGTGACTGTGGAGGCCATTGGAGTACAGTGAACTCATTGTCATGTTTGAGATGATGTGAGCTTTGTGACATGGTGCGTTATCCTGCTGGAAGTAGCCATCTGAAGATGGGTACACTGTGGTCATAAAGGGATGGACACGCTCAGCAACAATACTCAGGTAGGCTGTGGTGTTTAAACCATGCTCAGTTGGTACTAAGAAAATCTCCCCCACACCATTACACCACCAGCAGCAGCCTGAAGCGTTGATACAAGGCAGGATGGATCCATGCTTCCATCTGAATGTGGTTTTTCCAATCTTCTATTGTCCAGTTTTGGTGAATTGTAGCCTCAGTTTCCTGTTGTTAGCTGACAGGAGTGGCACCTGGTGTGGTCTTCTGCTGCTGTAGCCCATCTGCTTCAAGGTTGGACAAGGTGTTGTTGCTTCAGAGATGTACCCCACATTGGTGAATTGAGATATAAAGGAAACGAGGATGAATAGTGTGTTCTGCATGATGTGTGTTTGTGACATTGTATTTGCTGTAACAGACTGAGCTGTAATCTGTAATGTACATGACATACTGCAAACCTAAGACTGTGGTTTGGCGCCCTCCAGTGGTCAGCCACCACTACTGCATGATGAACTGTGTTTTGTAACTCCAGCAGGAACGATGTGTGTAATCGCACAATATGTGAAGTCACAAGAATGTAGTGTTGGTATTTCAAGTTACCAAACTGTTGCTTTATAATCTTACTGTACATTTTAGTCCAGTCATTAGGCTACAGGATTATGTCTTTATGATTGCAGCAGGTTATTAGAATGATAATAGATGCTAAACTGACCACATTGGGCCTGTTAGTGTATGGCAAGCCATTTTCACAAATAGGTAGACTGGATTATGTAATGCAGATATCTATAATTAATGAAATGAAAATTTTAGATATCCACAACATCAACATTTTTCCTAGGTCAAATGGCTTTGGGCTTTTAATTTTAGATACCAACAATGTCTTAATGTGGGTGCCTCAGCAGCCACACTAATGTTATACAAATCGTAATTCTTGTTCCGCTGATTATTGCAACTTTTTTGCCTCTAATAATAATAATTAAGGGTGGATTGTTCAGACAGGATTGTGAAAGCGTTCCCCCGTTAGGGACATACCATACAAAGGTAACGTAAAGTGTTAATATTGTATATATTCAAAAATGCTTTTCCTACACCTCATTTGTCCCTTATTCCATTGTGCACATTTTTGTTCTTTGAATAAAAATAGAACAAGAATTATTGAGCAGAACATGTGATCTATATTGTGAATAACTAGTGATGGCCAAATGAAGCCTCATGAAGCATTTTCTTTATTTTCTGAGCCCACTAGATGGTGCTTTTTGTTCAACAAAAGGTTGAAAGTAGTGATGGCCAAATGAAGCCTCATGAAGCATTTTCTTTATTTTCTGAGCCCACTAGATGGCGCTTTTTGTTCAACAAAAGGTTGAAAGCACACTGAATTGCTATTCTTTGAGGCACTCTCTTTAAACCATGAGCGCCATCTAGTGGGCTCAGAAAATAAAAAAAATGCTTCATGAGGCTTCATTTGGCCATCACTAGTTGAAAGCACACTGAATTGCCATTCTTTGAGCCTCTCTCTTTCAACCATGAGCGCCATCTAGTGGGCTCAGAAAATAAAGAAAATGCTTCATGAGGCTTCATTTGGCCATCACTATGAATAACCACATGTTTGCACTCAATTTACCCCAAAATCATAAATAATAACAGACATTTGCACACAAAAATCATATGTATGCTATTAATCCTTTCCAATCCTGCAAATTAACATTAAAAAATGCAAAACATGTAATATATTTTAAGTTATTGAAAAAAATGTGACTAACAGGGTGGAAAGGAGTTAAAAATGAATTAATAACATTATAAAAAAATAAATAAATAAAAGTCCTCAGCTATGATGCTGCAGAACAAGTAGTAAAGCCAAATAAATACCCTACTGATTATAATTATAAAATGATACCTTTTACACATTTAGTAAATCACACAGACAGATTAAATGGCAGTTAAATATATAAGCCTAGGCCTCTTCTTATTTATTTTTTTAGTTTTTAATATTTGGATTTTATGCAGTTTTATGTGTATTTAAATAAGAAAAAAAATAAAAATAAGACAAAAGCAGTGTTATATGTATCAGAGTTATGTCAGCTGACGTCATATCACCGTCCATATGTTCTTCATTACCAAACTGTACGTTCTGTTGTCATTCCAGCGTGATGACGTAACAGCTTACGTCGGGCACGTGCTGCCCAAAGTTGAGTAATTCCTGTGTCCTGCACGTTGACATTGGGACAGTCTCCCGACACTACAGCAGCCCTCAGCTTCACTTCCCCTTCAGGTGAGTCGGTTATTTCTCTCCGTCTTCATATGTTAACACCTCACTGTGACACTGAACGTGTGGCCCACGCGCTGTGTTGAAGTGACGTCAAGATTTAAAGCAAAGAAGACAGTCAACATTTCGGCTAACGTTAGCATAGCTGCTAGCTAGCCTGGCTAATGGTGAATGAAGGTAGCGAGCGCTGATAGTTTAGCTGCTTTGTCTGAGCTGCCGTCAGGTTTGACTTTAGTCTTTTCATAGTAACTGTATCGCAGGATAAATGGTTGGTGTTGGGGGGTCCGGGGGGGCTGGGACCAGGCTGTTAACTACATTAGCTACCAAGCTAACGTTAGCTAACGCTAGGTGGAAGCTTTGATGCTAACTTTCACCGTGAGGTTAATCAAGGATAACTTGTGGTCGGATCAGATGGCAGCATGTTCAGCCACTCTGCCCGTTGACAGTAATAATTTATAGATTGTCAGCAAAGGAAGTCACTTAAAAACAATGATGCGACAGCACCCAGACACTTTTAATGTAACACTAGGGACTGTTCAATATTTATCAGAGGAAGAGGCCTGAGAAGGTTGTGACTCTATTTTGTTTTTATCTTCACATTCTGAAGCATTCTTTGCACATGAGAAGTTCATGGACTGTCTGAAATTTGAGAATCTGTAACGTTGGCGTGTCTGTCAAACCTGCTGGCAGTTTGAGTGTATTAAGAATAAATACAAAATACAACCACTTATAGTTGACTGTCCCTCTCTTAAGTGCTTAAACATTATTGGACATGCCTCCCTTTTGCACCACCCCTCTTCCCACATAATTAACAAACAGTCCCTTACTGCTGTGTGTTATAAAATGTTCAGATGCGTCTCCTCACTGTTGTAAAACACTTTGTCATTGAAAGGTACACAGACACTTCCCCCGCCCTTCAAAAAACTTTTCTGACATAACTGACCTGATAAATTGAGATGGTAGTTAGTCAGTGTGATGTCATCATGCTGCAGGGTGTTGTTTGTATTTGTTATCATTAATGTCGTGTGTGTGTGTGTGTGTGTCCACAGGGCAGGATGGGAGCCTCCTTGTCTACACCTGCTGCTCCTACAGTCAGGGCAGAGGCCATGATGGCCGCTCCTCCTCAGGGCTGCCCCATGCACCAAGAAGCCCCGCCTGTCAAAGGTGCTGCTACATCAGAGATGAGGCTGTTAACTACTAATATAGTCTGATGTGTTGTATCATACACGCTGTGGTTATTAAGTGTGCTAACATAAAGCTTTTTTTGTCTGTATCTGCATTCTTAGTGTCTCCACCCTCAGAGTGTCCCATGCATCAAGCTGCGCCTGTAAAAGGTAACGATTTTAATTCTATGTGGGCCAATGAAATTATTTATGACATGTCCGTACCACTAAAGCAAACACATTACCTGGAAATCCTGACACTTGAGTTAGTTCTTAGAATAGCATAACACATAGAGGCATAAGGTTTCCTGTGATGGGTCGTCAGTTTTGTTCCAGTGTCCGGGCTTTGTACCCGCAATGAATCAGCTGCTCTTGTTTTCCGTAGCGTCTCCCCCGTCGGAGTGTCCAATGCACCGAGCAGATCCAGGTCCAGCTCACCAGGACCGGGCCTACGAGTTTGTGGAGTGTCCCATGAAAGCTGCAGAAGGAATGAAGAGTGACATTGACCCAGCCAATATGGTAACTGCACCACTTCAGTGTGGGAAATGAGGGAGAGGGTGCTGGGTGGATGGAGAAGGGAGGGAGAGAAAAAAAGCCAAGATGAAATGAATAAGTGTGTGATCTTGAAAATAGTGTCTTTTGACTAAAGCACCATTTTGACAGGAGGGCAGTTCACAAAACAAAAAAATACACAAGATGAAACTTTTCTACCTTTGGTAAAGATAATTTATGGACGACTTTGTTCTGCCTCCTTTGTGTTTTTACACAGAACCAAACTACAGCGGCACCATTGACATGTAACACAACAGCGTCAGCCTCTAGTTTGACGTATAATGTGTGTTGGCAGCGCCTTGTAAACAATATCAATAGTATTAACATGTCAATAACAATCATTTACCGTCTGTTATATGGCGGCTGATCTCATCAGCTGCTCGGAGGGTAAGGAGCTTCTGGGCCTCATTGTTTTTCCCCAGTTTGTGGACATTTTCAGCCGCTGTTCTTCTTTTGAATTCGCTGCTTATGACAGATGTTTGTAGGTGTTAATAAGACTCCGTCACACATAGTTACCAAGCTGAAAAAGGGTTTAACAGGGTCTGACTGGACACTCACTCGCTTGTCCGTGAGGGTCCGTTTTTGTCTGCGTGACATTAATGTCATCACCCACGCCTGCGAAAGTCTGCCCTGACACTATGCGGATGTCCATGTGCGGCTATCAGTCATTCTCAAAGCTTAAAGTGACAGTAACAGTTTTTACTCCCTGTGTGTACAGATGCCTCCTCCCAACCAACAGCCAGCTCCAGACCAGCCCTTCGATCTCTCCGTGTCCAGACAGGAGTCCAATATTCCCCGTCACAACACAGAGAAGAACTGGGTTTACCCATCTGAGCAGATGTTCTGGAACGCCATGCTCCGAAAAGGGTTGGTCCATATTACATGGCTCTCAAACACCAGTTCATCACCTGAAGTGTGCAGAAATGAAGCACAAAGTGGTTTGATTTTTCCAGCATGTTACATCCCCTAATTCTCTTTAACCACCGACTTAAACTCTAGTGGTGGAACAGATGGGGTTAGTCTGCCAGCCTGATGGCTTAAAAAGAGAGGAAAGCATACGTTCAAGATTCCTGTCAGCACAAAAAACAGTTTGGGATGTTTTCAGCACAGTATGAACAAGAGAAAAGTGTGAGATGACATTTGAGGCAGTAAAGAGACTCTGGGTTGGTTCTTTGGGAGTCTTCATGTGGTTTGACAGTCAGTTGTGTTGGTGCTGCAGGTGGCGTTGGCGTGAAGATGACCTCGGTGCTCAAGATATGACCAACATCATTAAAATCCACAACCAGAATAACGAGCAGGCCTGGCAGGAGATCCTGAAATGGGAGGCCCTGCACGCAGGGTGAGGTTGCAAACTGTAGGACTGGCCTACAGAAGACAGCCCATAGACGTCTATTCATTTGAGACAGATGCAGATTTTTTATCTTTAACATATTGTACATGTGCTAAACATGATGTGTGGGTTCATCAAAGTATTGACAGTTGTTTGACGAGGATTTAATCTTGTGTTTTCTTGCAGTGAATGTCCATGTGGGCCGACCTTGAAGAGGTTTGGTGGGAAAGCCAAAGAGTTCTCCCCCAGGGCTCGCTTCCGCCACTGGATGGGGTGAGCTGCTGCACACTTTATCTGCTTTAACTTCAGTCCGTAATTTATGTTCATGTCAGAAATGCAGAGCAGTTGTTATATATTAGTCCCTGCAGGATTTTACAGGCTGTTTTTGTGATGGTTGGGACCTGAAGTGTCTGATTTCACGGCAGCCTTTCTAAAAAACTGCGATGTATGTTGTAATATTTGAAGGCATTTTTTGCAACAAAACTGAAAATTGCAAAAATTGTTGGGATACTGTCTCTGTTTCTGAACCTGTAACATATTTACTGGTAACTTATTTTTTTATATCTCTAAGTTATCCAACCTGTCTGTCAAAGTCAGTGCAGAGTGAATTTTGAACGATTTTCAAGTGCTGCTTGGACGGAGATGGACTGTGTTATGTAGCTGCTGGTCATTGCATTGCACCAGCAAAGAGGCAAAAATTGGGGCATCCACGCAGGTGTCATATTTCCATCACAGTTGTTCAAAGCCGATCAGAGCTGGAGCTGATAAATATGCGAGACTACTGCAGAGTCATTTGTTGCGGGAGTGAATGCTGATTGTAACTTCCTCATTAAATAATGCCAGATGTTAGCAGGTGTTAGTGGGTCTTTTTGTCCAGTTACAAAGTGGCTGGAGAGAGGGGGGAAGTAGCCATGTTCTTGATAGAGACCTCAACACCATATCTCCTCTGGGATGTGTGTTGCAGACACTCTGGTGTCCGGTAACCATTGGTACCATCCACAACTTTTCACAGTGGAAACGAAAAAAATGTGTACTGAACTGAACTGTACTGGACTTCTTGTTGGAAACAGGCTTAAGGCTAAAGCAGTTGTAGCATACATCAGTCACTTTTTGATTTTGCTGCTGCTGCTGGGTAGTGATGGCCAAATGAAGCCTCATGAAGCATTTTCTTTATTTTCTGAGCCCACTAGATGGCGCTTTTTGTTCAACAAAAGGCTGAAAGCACACTGAATTGCCATTCTTTGAGCCTCTCTCTTTAAAACATGAGCGCCATCTAGTGGGCTCGGAAAATAAAGAAAATGCTTCATGAAGCTTCATTTGGCCATCACTACTGCTGGGTAGATCAGCCCCGATAAATGAAACAACAATGTGAGGTCTTGTGTCTTCTCAGTCCCCCAATCCCAAATGGATCCTTTACTGACTCGTTGACTCGAGCCCTAAGCCCTTACAGACCAAGGACCAATTCCATTTCTTCCCCTTAGCCCTTGTCTTGGCCCATTGGTTTTGTGCGTTCACATGAGGGGAAGTGGTGTCCTGTCCGTCAGATTAGCTCTTAACCTGACAGAGAACTGAGACACCACTTGGACCACTTGGTCTTGGTCTGTAATGGCTTAGGGCTTGAGTCAACAAGTCTGTAAGAGATCCATTTGGGATTGGGGGCGTGTCTTTCTGCTATTTAACTGTTAGAAAGCATCGTGAGTGGCCTCTGGTGTGTTGTGCTGCTTAAAAGTAGCTCCTACCAGCCTCTGACTTCTTCCCTCAAAGAATTTCTCTGACCCTTTTTCTTCTCCTCATTAGCTACGAGCTGCCTTTCGACCGCCACGACTGGATCATTGACCGCTGTGGGAAGGAGGTGCGCTACGTCATTGACTACTATGACGGTGAAATCAACACGGAGAACTACCAGTTCTCCATCCTGGATGTACGTCCCGCCTTTGACTCTTTAGATGCCGTCTGGGACCGTATGAAGGTGGCCTGGTGGCGCTGGACCTCTTAAACGACCCACACACATGCACCCACATAAAGATGACCGTGTGAATTCAAACACAGACATGGACTATGAAACTGGCGTTCCACATTTCAGCTCTCGACAAGATGTGTGGTGCTGTGAACAGGAACTGTAAACAAGACTCATGAAGAATCAGAAACGGACTTAGACTACGTTTGTTTTAGCGCAGCCTCACTCACTCAGACTGCATGACGCTTCATCTGCTAATCATATTGATTTCAGTGGAAAACTTTTGGGTTTGCAGGTCAGCAAGTGCATCTAAAGCTTGTGGAAGTGTTTGTCAGACAGGTCACATGTGGCTCACACTGCCTCTGGTCATACATCTGTTCAGCTGCCTTCACTCTGCTCTCGCTTCAGATCTAACTGCAGGAACAGCCTGTTCTCTTTAACTTACACTCCACCAGATTTACACATGAAGTTTGTTGTGAGGAACACTACTCAGCTCGTCCTCTGTGGCCATGGTGAGAAAATAACCCTGATGATGTCGCAGTGATGTCATCAGTTATCTCCGCTTTGGCCTGGAGACAGCACAGTACAAACTGGAGGTGTGGAGGTTAAAGTAAATGGGGATTTAACAGGCACCACAGGGGGTTAAATACAAGTAGGAAAGCTGCTGCTGTGCTGCATTATGGGAAATGTAGGATCTAGCGTTTCACTTAGGGTCTTAAAGTCAGCGTACCTCAGCCTCTGGTACTTTAATTTGGACCATCTTGTTTTTAACGTCCCTGGAGTCCTGCTTTGCATCTCTGGAAACTGAACTGCAGGAGTCGCCCTTTAAGTTGAATGTACCGAGTTTAAAGTTTTAACCCGCTGAGGCGCATGATCGATGTTTGTGCAAACTGTTGTTGCTTTTAATTAGATTTCTCTCAGACGGCAGCTTTGAATCAGTGAATCATTCTTTGGAAGCAAACGTTTACTGTAATTTTAAAAATCCACAGATGTGCAATACCAGAGTTGTGATTACAGCATAGTTTAAGATTTCAATAGCTCACATTCTGATTATTGCATAAACTATATTCTCATTTCATCTAAAGTCTAATTTTTGTCAACATGTTGCCTTTGTGTGATAAATGAGGACGAGACGGAAAGCAGGGAGAGGTACGATGAAATCTAACGGGATGTTGTGGTTAAATGATGTGCATCTTGAGCACTTGTCGGCCGTGTTTTTCTTTTCTGGATCTCCCATGTGAGGCCCCGATCAGACAGAAAGCGTTTCAGCAGCTAGAGGCGGCTTTTTGTAATCGGTGTTAATGAGAATGAAGCTTTTAAGTTTTTAAGTTGCAGCACACCTCACGTTTCCACAGTCTAGGCGCCTGGTGTTTTTGCCGGAGCACTCTGAGATCCTCAAGTTGATTAAAACTTCAACTCAGAGCGGAAAAGCGCCCCACGTCATCTCATTTTCGGGCCTTCTGTGGTGGTCATAACAAGTTTACAGTTGGTAAACAATAGAGGAGAAACTGGTGGTAGTGGTTGCTGGATACCCAGAGCTATACGGCCCGACGATAGACAGCAGGTTGTCAAACTGCCCAAGTCATCCTAAAATATGTCTGATAACATCCATCATGGAGGAGACGCTCCTGGACCAACTGGTGGTACTCCCCATGATCCAGCCTCTTTTTTTTAGATCTGTTTCCCTGTGCTCAACAAACTATCGCGCATTGCGCAACCTGCAAAAGACTTCTGTGTGTTTGGGGCCTAAATGAACTTAGCCCACAACCTAACATTTGTCTTTTTGCGGGAATGTTCCGAGTCAGTAACCTTTGACGTCGGGATCCTGCAGGCAGACTGAAGCTCGTTCAGAGTGGCGGCAGTTTGATGTGAGCGCTCAGTGATGTGACCTGCTGACTCACTCAGTACAGCGCATCTGCTCTGATTGTAAGGTACTTCCTCAGATCCATGCTGTCACATATCCTGGAGCACAGTGATGAGTTTTGTTTTGTCAGAATAATCTTTATTGGTGAGATGGATTTGAAAGGGATACCGTGATGACTGCGCAGTGGTTTATGGGTGTTAGTGTAGTTTGACCTACAGGATATGTATAGTTATATTTTTTTAAAAGGACCAGGATGGATATGAGCCTTGCTATTAAACCCTGTAACTCTGTCACTGCTTCCTCTTCTTGTTGTGGTCAGTTTGCCCTGATTTACTTAGATGACAGTAGCATGTTCGGAGGTGCAATTGAAAGCCAGCTGACCACTTAACTTGCTGTGATGTTCTTGCAACATACTTCAAATACTGTATGACTTTAAAGTTTCATTTCAACTAACTTTAAAATTAATTTTCCTTTTCCAGATGCTCTGTTTCATTGTTTTCGTGCAGTGCAACATTTCATTGCAACTTCCTCAGAAGTGTCAGAATCCTGTGTTTCAGCTTTGCTTTATAATTTTTGTTGCGCTGATATTCAGACTTGTATTTATTGTTTGATGAATGAGTGGAGACTTCTGCGTGTGGAATCTTGCTGCTTTTGTTCTCCGAATAAAGTTGAGTGTAAAAATAATTTTACTGGCTCTGGTGGTCAGATAAACTATCAATAAAGCTGGTCATATTCCACCTCTGAATGAATGAATGCCTCTCTATTGGGAAAAGACATCACAACATTTTCATGTATAGCACATGGCGAAAACATGTCTGCAGGTATTTCCTCCACTAGAATATTAGCGGGGTAAACAACACACCAATGTCAGGTGATGAGGTCTGACTCACAGTCTGTGTTCCTGTTCATCCCAAAGGTGTTGGATGGAGCTGAGGTCACGTGAGTGACGTTTAAACAGGAAAGGGACAAACCAGGAGAGACTTGTACATAAAGTGTATATTTGGCACCATCTGCTGGACATAAAGCATCACTGCTGGTTATAATAACTGGATTCCCAGTTCAGCTTTTTTCTCCTGGTTTAGCTGCTCGACAAATTAAACCAGGATTACTCAGCTTCATAAAGAAAATTGTCTGGTTTATTTCATGTCTTTGAAGCAGACCTCAGCCCTCAATCACTGATCGACTCAATTCCATTCACTATATGCAATAATGTTACCGTGACTTCACCCTTTGGTTGGTGGACCTCTTCTTCAAATCCTCAAGTTCTGCATCTCAGCCTGCATCCAAATGACCAATCCTGTGAACTTCAGCCGTATGTACAGTTACGAATTCACCGTCATCACATAAAGACTGTGATTGCAGAGACCACATATTCTGTCTTGTCTTTCCCTGCAGATACTCAATATAAATCCCATGTACGGGGTTGTTTTGCGAGAGATGTTTGTAGATATGGCTGAATGAATCAAGTTGGCGTATTTGTCACACCAGAAGATCTTTTTCTATAGCCTAGGCCTCTATATATTTCTGTATCAAGATGCTGAATATTAATTCTGATCTACACGATTCAAGTATTGTTTTAACAGGCTACAGTAACTGTTTTACATGCACATGAAGTTTGTTTTTTAGTCAGCTATTGAAAAGAAGAACAACAACGTCATGTCAATATTGCAATGAATTGTGGGCCATTAAATCAGTGAAGTCAGCTGAAGTCTGCGCCCAAAGCGGACTCTCTGAAAGTCTGCAGAAAGTCCGCTTGAGGCCCGGTGGACTGGTTAAATTGTGGATTTGGGGCCCTAAGCACAGATAATATCTGTGACCTGTAAAAAGGCAAGCGTGCTCACTCTGCAGCAAAATATGGGGACCAAAATGTCCCCAGAAGTAGTGATGGCCAAATGAAGCCTCATGAAGCATTTTCTTTATTTTCTGAGCCCACTAGATGGCGCTCCTGGTTTAAAGAGAGAAGCTCAAAGAATGGCAATTCAGTGTGCTTTCAACCTTTTGTTGAACAAATAGTGCCATCTAGTGGGCTCATAGAATAAAGAAAAATGCTTCATGAGGCTTCATTTGGCCATCACTACCCAGAAGTACACTACACAGCACACTGACTGTCAAAGAAAAAAGAGAAAGACTGATCTCATAGATCTCAGTTGACTTAGAGGTCTCTGACTGGTGATTTGAATCTCCGACTTTCAAGGGTCAGCCCTAGTGGTAGTGATGGCCAAATGAAGCCTCATGAAGCATTTTCTAATTTTCTGAGCCCACTAGATAGATGGTGATCATGTTTTAAAGAGAAAGACTCAAATAATGGCAATTCAGTGTGCTTTCAACCTTTTGTTGAACAAAAAGCGCCATCTAGTGGGCTCATGAAATAAAGAAAATGCTTCATGAAGCTTCATTTGGCCATCACTCCCTAGTGGTGATATTGTATACATGGTAGCTTGGGTCAGACATATTTAGGGTGTTTAACTCAGCTTTATGAAAACAGTCTCTGAAAACAAGCCTGGTTTGCTGAAATAAGCCTTGTTTAACTGGTTTATCTGGTTCTACTGGTCATTTAGTTTAATGAAACACTCTGGAACCCTTTTGTCATTTGGCCAGAGGCTGATTCACTTTCCCAGACATGCTGATGCAGTTCAGAAGCTGAACACAAGAGGGGGGTATTTCACTAGACTTGACACCATAAAACAAACCACATGCACAGAGAAAGTATATTTTCTGTCATCATTCTCCCTGTGAATCTGTCATTGAGTTTGATGGCTCACATTAGAGAGCACATTTCCTCCTCAGCCTCGGTGTAAATCACTTCACAGGTCCTAAGAAACGTTCTTCCACCTGATCCTGTACACCACACACAAGACAGGAACATACAGATGTGTACGGCTCAGCTGCTATAAAAATGCTCATATAATTCTGTTTTCGGGTGATCAGTGGTTTTATTTGTTTTCTCACACACTGCTCCAGGTGCCTCGGGGCCTCGAGTGGTCCAAGCACTTGATGATGTTTCCTCTGTCAGTACAATAACAGGTACAGTATACAGGTTCAAGACTTCTCATTGGTGGGTCTGCTGTGTGTCGTGACACTTGTATTCTCCTGGACTGAAACATCAGCAGTTACAGCCCAGTAAGAATCCACATCAATTCACGTATGGCCTAAATGCTTCATCGAGGATGCTTTGAGTGCTGACCTGTCACCTTCAGTACACAAGTATCCCAGCATGCCCCTTGTGTCACGGTGTCCCCTCTTCTGCCCATGAAGACAGAGAAAAAAACAGTAAAACAATGTGATTCTGTTTATAATTTTTATTAATATAATTCCTATTTGAATTTTTCTGTGGTGTTTTCAGAGATGTGAGAACCTGCCAGCCTGGTGACTTCTGCGAGTCTGGTGCTGGTTACCTGGTAACTGCTCATGGCCAGGAAGCCGCCCTGCACAGGAGCCCCAATAAAACATGGTTGTTTTTACATTCCAGTATTTTGAGATGAAGCAGAGCAGACATCATGTGTTCATCAGTCAGCCTTGGAGCTGCTGTTGGATGGATGGTGTCACTGGGCAGAGCCTTTATGCTAAGCTACGCTAAACAGCTGTGGATGTGAGATGAACAGATGAATGAATGAAGGTATGTGAAATGAATGGATGTAAGATGAATGAATGAATGGATGTAAGATGAATGGATGTGGGATGAAAGGATAAATGGATGTGAGATGAATGAATGGATGGATGAGTGTATAAATGATGTGAGATGAATGAATGAGTGGATGTAGAATGGATGAATGGATGTAAGATGAATGAATAAATGGATGTGAGATGAACGGATAAATGGATGTGAGATGAATGGATGTGAGATGAATGAATAAATTGATGTGAGATGAATGGATAAATGGATGTGAAATTAATGGATGTGAGATTAATGGATGTGAGATGAATGGATAATTGGATGTGAGATGAATGGATAATTGGATGTGAGATGAATGGATAAATGGATGTGAGATTAATGGATGTGAGATGAATGGATAATTGGATGTGAGATGAATGGATAAATGGATGTGAGATTAATGGATGTGAGATGAATGAATAAATGGATGTGAGATGAACGGATAAATGGATGTGAGATGAATGGATGAATGACTGTGAGATAAACACATATGAGAGTGACTGAATGAACACATCTCCTAAAATGTTGAGCTGTTCCTTTAAGAAAAGTGAGCTTGTATATTTTATAATGTACATCTAAAGGCTTCTTTCTACTTTTGACCTTTGTCTCTTCACTTTGCTTCATCGTGCAGCTGAACCTTTGTTTCTACTCCAGGTAGTTTCCTCTCTGTCCTCAAATGCCTTCAGACAACCTAAAAAAGAAAATTAAATAAGCACCAACTCGCTGCTCCCGGTCCAAAGTGCACACATGGCTGCATTGAATTTCTGATCAGCTGTGGGTTACTCATGTAGGTGGATAGAGCGAGAGCTGGAGGCACAGTGAGGGCGGAGAACACAACATGTCTTGTGGCTGCTGCATTGCATTCTGGTCTATTAAGGCTCCTGTCAGTGGACGAGCAGGTCTCTGTTGACTGATTGATTCCTGCCTGTATGATTGTTGAATGTCAGCGCAGGAGGAAAACATCTCTCCTTAAATCTAAAGGGGGCTGACACCTGACATTTACTGTACATGTTG